GGAGATGGTTATCATTTCATGGGTTATTGATGGGATAGGGTTATCATTTCATAGGTTCCTAATGGGCGAGGGTTATCATTTGATTGGTTATTAAAGGGCGAGGGTTATCATTTCATGGGTTATTAATGGGCGAGGGTTATCATTTCATGGGTTATTAAAGGGAGATGGTTGTCATTTCATGGGTTATTAATGGGAGAGGGTTATCATTTCATGGGTTATTGATGGGAGAGGGTTATCGTTTCATGGGTTATTGATGGGAGATGGTTATCATTTCATGGGATATTAATTGGAGAGGGTTATCATTTTATGGGTTATTAATGGGAGAGGGTTATCATTTCATGGGTTATTGATGGGAGAGGGTTATCATTTAATGGGTTATTAATGGGAGAGGGTTATCATTTCATGGGTTATTAAAGGGAGATGGTTATCATTTTATGGATTATTAATGGGCGAGGGTTATCATTTCATGGGTTATTAAAGGGCGAGGGTTATCATTTCATGGGTTGTTAAAGGGAGATGGTTATCATTTCATGGGAAATTAATTGGAGAGGGTTATCATTTCATGGGTTATTAATGGGCGAGGGTTATCATTTCATGGGTTATTGATGGGAGAGGGTTATCATTTCATGGGTTATCAATGGGAGAGGGTTATCATTTCATGGATCATTGATGGGAATTCTTGAAATGACATCTACGCATGATGTTTTTTAGGTCGCCTGAGCCGTGCGTGCGTCGTTAACTTTTCACATATTCGACTTCTTCTCAAGAACCACTGAATGGATTTTGACCAAACTTGGCACAAAGCTGCTTCAAGTTTGCGAAGAAAAAGGATGTGGCCCCAAAAGGGGCCCCAGGAAGAGGAAAAGGGGGGTAAAATTGGGTAAATCTTTAAAAATCTTCTTCTCATGAACCAACAGTCAGATTAAATTCATATTTGATATTTAGGGTCCTTATGGCAAGGTCTACAAAGTTTGCGAATGAAAAAAAATTGCCCCCACTAGGGGCACTCAAAAGTGTCAAAAATTCAACTTTGACCGATTTCAACCAAATTTGGTAGAAAGCATCCCTTAGTGAAGAACATATGAAATCATGTTGAAAAAAGTGATTATGTCCCCTTTGGAGCCCATTAGGGGTGTAAAAGGGGCCATATTTAAAAACCTTCTTTAAATGACTTCTTCTCAAGAACCATTGGATGGATTTTGACCAAACTTGGCACAAAGCATCCCCATGGGAAGCCGCTTCAAGTTTGCGAAGAAAAAGGGCGTGGCCCTAATAGGGGCCCCAGGATGGGGGAAAGGGGAAACTTGATACGAATGTTCTACACAAGGTCCTGGCAAGTGTTTTAACTTTTTGGGGCGATTCAAAATCCAAGATGGCCACCCTGGCCTCTGTTTGGCTAAGACATTATTGACTTCCTCTCAAGAACCATTGGGTGGGTCATGTTCAAACTTGGTACAGATGTTTTACACATGGTCCTGCACAAGTGTTGCTACATTTTTGCCACATTTTAAAATGCCCAGATTATTGACATATATTCCTCATTTGACCGTTAAGGCCTCTTGGGCCTCTTGTTTAAAACATGTTTTCAAAGTTATGATTCCAATACATATTCTATGATAAGCATGTATTTCGGTGCTTCATATTATGTGTCAATATACTCGATAACAAGGTATTTAAGAAAGAAGATTTCATTTTTTTGACAAATTCATAATTTTACAAACTTTACATTTTTTTAATGTATGATTTGTATATATAGTGATGTAGTAGAACTTGTGTGACGTCACTACATTGTTACGTTTCTACTTTGTCGTGAAGGTGACATTCCATGCTTTGGTTTCTTTTCAATTACTACATATGTCAAATGTACACTGTGACATGCTGTAAGTAATTGTAGATAACTAGCATAAAGATATCCACTCAAGGCCAAACTAGCGATAAATTATGTTGAAGGTTGTATGACAGATATAAAAACGACCATGCTGTCAGTTAAATCTCTCAGACAACATCTCCAGTACGCTTTATTAACTCAAACGATTATTTCCGTAATAAAATTCTGCAGTCCATCGCTGTAAACCATTACGATGTACGACCAGAATATCTGCTTTTGATAAAAGTGTCGGGCGAAAACGATATTCTCAACCACCTGTGTTTATTGTACAAAAACAAGATATTCTGCGTAACTAGTATATGTTTTGTTAAACAGAAACACAATTTTCGAGGCTGTGGTTTAACAAAAATAATGCAGATTCTAAAAAAGTTGAGATAAGAACACTGTAAACAGATTACATACATACAGCAATGATATTATATTATACATTCAGACACATACCGTCAATTACTTTAAAATTCCTGTCGTAGCTTTACATTCATGTTCAAAGAAACCTTATCCATCCGCAGCAGTTTTTTTTTTTAATATTTGTAAATTAGAATCATAATTACAGTTTAGAATTACAATTTTGTGAAAAATCATAAAAAATAACATAAAAAAACGTTAAATAAAGTTTAAATTCGAATTGTTGTAAAATACAGCGTTCATTAATATCGTAATAACATAGCAATATTTGAAATATTGAATATAGAAATAATTTGGTTAAAAACGAAATACAAAAATAACGAAGCTTTGTATTTATATTTTTTTCACCTTTCGGAGAATGATGAATACGGATAGACTGAGTTAGGAGATGGGTTTGAAGAAAACGAAGGAGACGTTTTCTTGTTGCCATAGTGATCTCATGAATAAATATTATATTTCATTGTGCGAAATGAAGCTGTGTGTGTATGATGCTTGTTAGTTTGCCTGTTGGTTCCATTGCTGTTTTTTTTTGTTCACATCTGTAAAACTGACGTCACCTACTTGGCCGGTGTCGTGGATGAAGCAGAAGACGCTCACCCACCAGAAACACGTGGTCTTATTTTCCTTGTACTTTTCAGGAGACTCCATGTAAACCTTTCTTTTTGTCATATTTTACCCAAGTCTTATTGAATAAGAGTTGAGATTAAATTTGCAGAGATATTCTTGTGTGTCGTTTAACCTCAGAATATTTGTGCGCGTTAAATGAATAACTTTACAAGAAAGAACTTGACAACATTTTAATCATGTTTGTGTCTTTCAAAATTATGCTTGGAATAGTCCGTATTATGCACATAATCAAATATATTCTTAAACATATTTTTGATATTGCAAGGGTAGACATTTCTGGTGGACTGTATTTTTTTTATAATATGCACACGGACACCATCAAGAATATACATGTGTACATACACATCTTTACAATGCCTCTGCCAGGATTCGAACCCGTAACACCTGGCTTACTAGTCTAACGCTCAAACGATCGAGCTAAAGAGAACTCCTCGTTAGCTGAGTGGAATACTGAAACTAGTATTTACCAGGGTAACTAATTGGTGTGAATTGCTTTTAAATCATTCTTTATTTACAATTCAATAAATTAACTGAATATTTAGTTATAGCTACTGTTATTTTCTCAACCAGCTTTATAGGTTTCCATATTTTAGTGCCCTAGCACCATTGACCGGTCCTAGATGGACGGAACAGCTTAGCAACAATATTTAAAAGTCATTATTTTGCTATATATCTTGTGCAATTCTGTGTTTTTCTGTAGTACCGTACCATGGTAGCAACATCAGATATATGGTAAACATTTAATTCTGCTGAGGATTTACTTTATATAAATATATTTATACTTATTGTTTCTGAATTCTCAAATACACATACTGGAAGTTTGGCGGAAATGAGGAGAGCCAAATATGATTTCTTACATATGACAAATTGTTATTCATGTTTTACTGACAAGCGGTACATTCATGTTTTACCGACAAACGGTACATTTATGTTTTACCGACAAACGGTAGTTTCATGTTTTACCGACAAACGGCAGATTCATGTTTTACCCGACAAACGGTAGATTCATGTTTTACCGACAAACGGTACATTCATTTTTTAACCGACAAACGGTACATTCATTTTTTACCCAACAAACGGTAGATTCATACTTTACCGACAAACGGTACATTCATGTTTTACCGACAAACGGTACATTCATGTTTTACCGACAAACTGTAGACTCATGTTTTACCGACAAACGATACATTCATGTTTTACCCGACAAACGGTATATTCATGTTTTACCCGACGAACGGTAGATTCATTTTTTACCCGACAAACGGTACATTCATGTTTTGCCGACAAACGGTACATTCATGATTTACCGACAAACAGTAGATAGTTTAGGCATTGAAACTGCCAATTAAAACTGAAGCCTTCTTAAAAAGTACAATTCCTTAACATACGCGTCATCCAATGGTCAATATAGCTCAACGTCACTTTAAGCAGCTGACTACAAGATATGGACATCACATACAGATGTTCATTCAGAAGTCCTGTTATCTTGCAAATATTTTGTGATATTGCAACATAAAAAAATTCCCAACAAATATTGAAAATTTAACACGCATGAACTGTAATCAACTATAATCACTATGAAAGGAGTATGACCAACATCAAGTCACATTTGTGTTTAATTGACAATCAACAACGTTAAGAATGCCAACAACATTCCCAATAAATGTGACTATTGTACTTTCAAACATGCCAATAATCGATGTTTTGTGTTTTTGTGTCGAGTCGTTGGACAAAAATGTATTAGAAATTGCTTAAACAGTTTTCTTATCAAGCACTTTTATTTATTTATTGTAGTGTTTTTGTTTTTTTTTTTTTTTTTTTTTTTTTTGTTTTTTTTTTTTTTGTTTTGTTTTGTTTTTTTTTTATATATAATTTACTTGTTGATTTTTACTATCTTTTTGTTACATTTTATTAATTTATCTATAAATTCACTTGAATCTTCCGGAAATAAAATGAGTTGAGTTCTAATTATGTGTTTTATTGAAGATAACATGTTTTTGATCTTTAAACGAAGTTGCCGTGTTTTAATGTCGGCTGAAGTTTTTGTATGAAAGGTTAATAGTATTTTTGTTTCTTTCAGCTCTAGTGGTGAGGTATTTAACCAAACGCTTTATCTGGGAATACGACCCGACGTTAGGTAAGATGCAAACGTGAAGACAAACAGGAGTTCTACATGTCAAACACTCATTCACCAACATAAGAAAACAGCTATTTCCGAAGGAATGCTGCTTCAACGGACGCCAGTCATGGCAGAATTAATCAACTTAAAACGAAACACAAAAAGTCTTGGAACAGCAAAAAGAATTCTTAAAACTTCGTTAGATATTTCAGGCCTGTGGTTAATTTCATTTGTGAAATTAAAAAGCATTGAGTTGTAATAAATACGATTTTTATAAGCATTCATCTTATTTTATTTAATTCTATTCTATTTTTAGTTTTATTTAATTGATTTTTTCTTTTTATTTTTTTGTCAGAATGTACATACAAGCACCATACTATTGTGGACGACGAGCCAGTTGTCATCGAGATTCTGGACACAGCAGGCCAGGTCTGTTGATTGACTACTCAATTATATAACTCGATGTATAAAATACTCATTTCATCCTTATTTTGAAATTTCCTCACGATGAGTTCCTGTCATACGAGATGTCCAAACATTTTATTGTAAATAAAAGTTCTGTATAAAAAGATAACACCTGGTTTACAGATAGTGTATCTTAATTAACATTTATTATCTCATTCTAGGACGAGACTATCCACAGGGAGGGCCACGTTCGCTGGGCTGATGGATTTGTTTTGGTGTATGCAATTAACGACAGACAGAGCTTTGAAGATATCTATACCATAAAACAGTACCTTGATGACATCAAGCGGACAAACGTGCAGTGCATACTTGTGGGAAATAAAACTGATCTTCTTCACGAGCGGAAAATTAGCACATCTGAAGGACAGAAGCTAGCTCAGGACATGGCATGTGCATTTTTTGAAACCTCTGCCAGTGACGGTGGGGAAGAAATTTGTGAACTTTTTTGTGAGCTACATCGTGAGGTAAAACGACGGAAGATGATCGAGAGTAAACCACGGAGACGCAGTTCAGCCCAACAAGTTCGTCAAGTACTGACGAAAATGTTTAACAAACAAAATAGTAAACAAATCTCTTCATGACTAATATGCTTAATTCAGTTTTTACATATCTGTCACCTTTTAATGTTACATATTTTGCATCGTGTTGTCCATTTAATAAATTAAATTATTCGCTAAAAGTGAAACTTGCATTTGTCATAATTTCAGCAAATGAAGTAGTTTATTGAAAGTCCATAAATGCAGAGGGTGAAAGAAAAATCGAAACGTTATGAATATTTCAGAAATTTTCACTGAAGTTATCTATCTCTAAACACTGAAGAATGTCACAATCAAAGGGAGGTAAATCCAACTGTAATACGGTTTTGGCTATGTGACTCACAGTTGTTTCCCTTTATATACGTGAATAGAGATGTATACGTGAATAGAGACGGATACAGAACGCTTCAACAATATTGTAATGCGATTAACAAGGTTTCCACAAACAAAAGTAATGATCAGGATTATAAGTTAAACTTGATTAAATATTCATAATGCATTGAAAAATTTTAGTGTAGTGAATATCGTGCTTATTAGTGTTTGTGTTGGTATAGTAAATTATTACTAGCATCGAGGGCATCTTCAGGGGCCAAACATATCAACATGCTAAAAAATCCGAATATAACCAAAACATTGAATGGATATAATTGTAAGAGGTAATACTACATTCAATTAGTTAAAGATGGTCTACAAAGAAATCAATATACAACAAAACAGAAATGTTGAGAAACTGCTTTGATTTGACGCAAACGATATGACACCTAATATACAGTAAAGGATATATTACATAAATAGGCTTTTTTCTAAGCTCACCTGTTCTGAACAGGAAGTTTTTTTTTTAAATTTCTACTGTTTCTGCAAGAATTATTAGAATGTTCCTACATTTAGTTTGAAGTAATCTTTGGTAGAGTAGAACCAATGGATGGTGGGTCTTTGCCTCCGGGTCTGGTAAGGTCGGATCAACACAGAAGAAATAAAGCAAAATGCTTAAAGAAATATTTTTTTCTTCTGTTATAATACCTGGATGTTTTTCCATTTTTGTCAAAAGAATTCTTGTATGAAAGGAAATCAATTTTGTATAGGTGGTATGTATAAGCCCCCGTAAGCAGGAGGGCGGCGCCAAACAGGGGAAATTGAACAAATTCTTTTAAATTCTGCTTCTTCTATAGGAATGTTTGGATGTTGTCTCCATTAAGTTGAAACATTCCAGATTGAAGGGGAATCGATTTTGTATATAAGGGGCATCAAGCCCCCTTGGAAAGGAGGGGTGGGGCCTACTAGGGGGCGAGGGAGCGGGGTCTACGACGGGATAAGATGCAATTGGTTTAGATACTTTTCTTTTAGCTTTAATCTATAAATTTCAGCATTCTAAATCAGGAGAGCGATACAGGTCCTATGGAACACTTGTTTAACTTTCTGAAAGTGGATGAGACGTGTCTGTTTGCATGTAGTCTAGAGAAACATAATTTCCATCATGATACAGATGTTTGTCTGTTTTTGGTGCGATACATATTGTCACCACGAGACACTTAAATACGACTTTCGCGCCCATGGCAGTGAAAAAGGAAGGGCATTTCTTCTGGTGATATACCAACCTGGTTGTCCCCGTTCCAGGATCGTAAAGAGAATTTAATAACGTCATCACTCCATATTCACCTGCGTGGGGTTAAGAGTTATGAAATGATATTTTCCCTATCAAAATATTTTATTGTTAATATCGTGTTAATAAATGAAATCCTACACAAATGATCCTATTGATTGCATAGTTAATGATACAAAATGCATATAAAAAATCAAAATGTGTTTTAACTAAAATGAAACTTAGGACCAAAGATTTTGAATCTACGGAACATTTGCTACAAGAACGTTTTACTAAGTTTTACGACCATAAACAGCTATAGTAATTTAATATAGGCCTCCCCATGCGTGTGAGTTGAATGCATATTCGTGGGAGGCTGTGATATATATATATATGTGTGTGTAAGTTTCCTGTTGACAAAGTGGGACTGAAGTCGAGTTTGTAGTTTAAGTGTACTAGAGGATACTGTCAACTGTCTCCTCAAGACACGTTTAACGATCACACCGGGCAACTCAGGTGTTATCGCAATACTGAGCGTTCAGCAGACAGTAAAAATGTTTATGAAGTCTTCAGACAAGATTATCAAAGATGGTCAAAAAGACATAATGTGGGCAAGCCTGATTACCATAAATGAAGAAATTTTTTAATTGAAAAAACTTAAAGCTATAACATCAATAGATGAATGCGCATCAAATTATAAAAACATTTTTGCTGCTTATCAATATTAGAATTTAAAACAAAAACAAGTAAGATGCTGTATCACAGTAAAAAATATCGCAGATATTTTAGTGAATGGTTTGATAAGGTGCTTAGATGCATGGACCTTTCAGCGATTGTGAGATTTTTGGTATATATTTGACCGAAAATTAAATCATCAACATTTACAATTGAGACGACTTTGTTGACATAAACCTTCACTGTTCACATATCTCAAGGCACGGTACTTGAAACTTCAACTGTTTCAAGTGATGATACATTATTGATAGAAAAACGTAGTTTATATATAGATATATATATAATACGAAGTTAAGAACAAATACCAGCAGTGTATAAAATGTATTAAAGACTTAAAGAGCTGTCGATTGGCCAGTCTCACCCTATCAGGATATTGACCCTTATCATTGACCAAAGAGATATATTTTTCACAACTCGAGTTTAATCAACATGATGAGGTAGGCTTAGAATAACAGTTACAGTCTTTAAATGCCAAATGTCTTCAGAAGGTTATATGAAAGTCAAGCAGTTACCCACGGATAGTGATAATGACTTTTAATTATCAAAACGCAAGCAGCAGGTTTAGAAATACTTCTCAGATTTTTCAAATGTTCTCCTGCGAAAGTTCCACTTGGACCTGAGATGGGCCGTTAGACCTTGGGACTGATCAGAAAAAGCAAAAGCGATTATTTCTTAGGAAGTCCAAGACTGATCTTTATCAATTTTTTTATATATTCCAAATGTTCCTCTTTTTTTGACCAATCAGAAAAACAAAATGGCTGACAGCTGGCCATCTTGGATTTTGCCGAATCAAGTTTGCTCTCGGTATGTCCTAAGAAGTACTTGATATATCTTTCTTATAATTTGTATGGATGTCACCCATTAATCCCTCCTTTGTTTCTGCTTTGAGCGACCACCTTACAGTTAAAGAGTATCGGCTCAATTTTATATGAGAATCTTTCATCAAAGTATAACAAAGTCTTAAGATACTATAACTATTATCAACCTGCATCTTTTGAAACCCTGTGTTATGCGTTTGTTTGTCAGTTAACGACTTCATGCTCGAAAATCATGATAATGATGACAGGCTGGTAACTCTGGCATGTAATCACAATATGTTTGGGATGTAGAGGTGTTGCTTTTTAGAAATGGTAAATTCACAATAAGGTAATTGAAAGCTGTCGATGTTAGGTTCGTTATAGGTAAATCGAGTGAAACAGCTGATGCATTTTCTTTCCAATGTACGATGGAGGTGTTTCAAAGACCTGTTTTAACAAGCTCCTCGAGAATTTAAACTGCGTATGAATAAAAACGAGTCAGCCAACAGAACGGCACAGTTACTTTCCACAGGTAAGCCAACCGTCTGTTGGAAGATCACACCACCCGACTAAACGAATGGCTAACCAGTTGTTACGCTATCATAAAAGAATATCATATTATTATCGCAATAACCCCGGTCATAAGAATACCATGGATGATAAGACCACTGCATTGCAGTTGGGTTTTATCGGATCAGTGGCCATTTTCCTGGTCCGTTTTCGTCTTCCGTCGTCCTTTATAAATTTCTAACTTCTGAAATGATTTCATTAACAGTGAAGAAAAGTTCCTAGAACATTGACAGACAAAAACATAAATGTTTAAAGTAGACTTAAAAAGATACATTCCGCAGAGCAAGACACTGTAGAATAATTAATTCCCAGTGAAAGGGCAGTTCCAAAGAGGCTTTATTGAAATTCTGAATATCATTACCCCAGTTTTCTTCTATGGGAGGAGCAAATTTTGCCGTAGTCTATATAGAAAAATCACTTAGTGGACCCTACCCTTGTGGTCTGATGAGCGGGTCTAATAGGAGAAATTGGTTAATATTTCAGAAATTTTCTCGCGACTTTAACACTGCAGATGTAAAAGCCGCTAAGTGGATGGAAAGGTTGCTTTTTATCAAAATTACCAATTTTGTAATACTAGAGCTTCTGTACCTCATATCAAAACTTATATTTTTTATTTGATAAATGTACCGACGACCTCGGAAAACTCACAGTCGGCAGCTTCCTGTTGATCGAAGCCGCATGTGGTCGCTTTGATGACAACATTGAGGAAAGTATTAACACTTTATTACACGTCTGCATAAGAAATCTGGGTAAATAAATAAAAGAAAAGTACAGTGCATCAATATCTATATTATATTTGTTTGATGTTTCCAACGGCGTTGTGATGTTGAAAACTCCGAAGACTTCCAATATTGACAGACAAACAGAGAAATTTTTCACCCAAAAACTGCTCCAGTATAGTCGAAACATCGCCGTAATGGGTTTTACTGCGTCATAATCACACTGAAATCTTGACATAAGTGCATTAACTTTTCATCAATTTTAATGTCGAAAAATATTGATGATGGGGTAAGTTTTCAGTATATAGCGATCTAGTCTTAATTTAGTCTCATGTGACAGACTTGATACAGATACGCTGCTCCACACCTCTCAATAGCTGCTTTGGACCTGGTGTATGTTGCTTAAGCAATGATAACAGCAACACGGTATCAGAAATATTCTATATAAACTTCATTTTCAACATTTATCTTTTTCGTACGTTATCAAGTAAAAAAAATTAACATTCATGAGTATTAATCTAAATTACTTTAATGTAGGTTTAGCAAACCCTTAAAGCCTTCTCCTGACTAAAATTGTGTTTTAGGATAACCTCCATATACACCGCATACCGTCAAGGCGGTGCAGAGTTTTTAACGTTTCAAACAAGCCAACACACCGCATAAAAGGGGTTATTACCATTTGAATAGGAATTTGGTAGGTTAACGGGTTTTTCGTCTCCGTGACTCCTCCCGTGTCCGGGT